GTGCAATGCAAAGAGTTGAATGCCATGGTGTAAAGCAGGCCGCCACTGGACTCTAGAGCAGCTGCATCCAAGCCTTACATCACCAAGTGCAATGCAAAGCGTCGGATGCCGTGGTGTAAAGCAAAAAAAAAATCTAATTTCGTCATAAATTTCGGCCAAAATGTATTCTGCTCCGTGTCTTTGCTAAAAAAAAAATCCCAATACGTGTAAATTAATTGGTTTACGTGAAAGTTATGACATCTACAAATGGCGGTATAGATACTGGGATTTTTTAAAATTTTTTCCTACTAGTAATGGCGACGTTCAGTGACTTTTAACAGGACTGCGGCGGGCATTCTGACACTGTGGGGGGGGGGGGAACTGACTTGGTGTCACTGACATCCCCAGTGACACCAATACAGTGATCAGTGCTAAAAAAAACAGCACTGACACTGTACTAATGACACTGGACAAGAAGGGGTTAACATGAGGGGCGATCAAAGGGTTATCTATGTGCAAGGAGTGTTTTACTAGGGGGTGGGGTGTGCTTCACTGTAAGCACACTGATTGGGATGGCTGTGGTGTGCAGCGTGCCTGAGCTGACAGGGAGGACTGTTTGTAAACAAAATAGTCTTCCTCCCCGTCGGTGGTTGTCAGTAATCACCGGGCGCAGGCGGGTAATCACCGGCCGGGACCCGGTGATTGACATCCACAGCCGCAAATTTATGATCACATCGTTGTTTGGCTCCTTTTTAAATCCTAATGATAGCAGAAATCCCCCCAAAAGGCCCGGATCAGAAGTCTCCACCCCAATATCCGAAGTCTCTGCCCGCAGATCAGAAGTCTCCGCCCCCATATCAGAAGTCTCCGCCCCATATCAGAAGTCTCCACGCCCCCCCGTATCGGACGTCTCCACCCCCATATCCGTAGTCTCCGCCCCCCAGATCAGAAGTCTCCGCCCCCATATCAGAAGCCCCCGACCCCATATCAGAAGTCTCCGCGCCCCCCGTATCAGAAGTTTTCGCCCCCTGGAATGTTTGTCCTTGTTACAGACACACAAGGTGACACACACGGGTTACAATGGCAATTAAAGGGTAATTTCCCACATCTGTGGCTTTCTAAATTGCAATTAGTGTCTGTGTATAAATAGTCAATGCTAGCTCTCATGTGGATCCACTGAGCAGGCTAGATACTGAGCCATGGGGAGCAGAAAAGAACTGTCAAAAGACCTGCGTAACAAGGTAATGGAACTTTATAAAGATGGAAAAGGATATAAAAAGATGTCCAAAGCCTTGAATATGACAGTCAGTACTGTCCATTCGCTTATTAAGAAATGGAAAATTCAGGGATCTCTTGATACCAAGGCTGGCCATACATTATACAATTTTCTTTCGAAAAATTGCTTTAGATTTACCAAAAACCATATAATATGAGGTCAAACCTAAACAACACTTTCAATTGTATCCATTTAAGCAGGCCCTTGCACTACATAGTTGAAGGTAAATCTAAATGAAATTGGGCAGAAATTGTAAAGAAAATTGCATGGTGTATGGCCAGCCCAAGCCAAGGTCAGGTAGGCAAAGAAAGATTGCAGCCACAACTGCCAGAAGAATTGTTTGGGATACAAAGAAAAACCTCCACAGGTAACCTCAGGAGAAATACAGGCAGCTCTGGAAAAAAGACAGTGTGGTTGTTTTGAGGAGTACAATGCGACGATACTTGAACAAAAATGAGCTGCATGGTCGAGTTGCCAGAAAGAAGCCTTTACTGCACCAATGGTTACAATATGTCTGACAGCACCTCACAGCTTCTGGCACAATGTAATCTGGAGTGATGACACCACAAGAGAGCCTCATAGTTACACCCATAAGCGCTTTGTTTGGAGAGGGGTCAACAGCGACAAGAATACCATCCCCACTGTGAAGCATGGTGGTGGCTTGCTGATGTTTTGGGGGGGGGGGAGTGATCTCTAAAGGCACGGGGAATCTTGTTAAAATTGATGGCAAGATGAATGCAGTATTTTATCAGAAAATACTGGCAGACAATTTGCCTTCTTCTGCAGGAAAGCTACGCATGGGACGCGCTTGGACTTTACAGCAAGACGATGACCCCAAGCACAAGGCCAAGCTGACCCTCCAGTGGTTACAACAGAAGAAGGTGAAGGTTCTGGAATGGCCATCACAGTCTCCTGACCTTCATATCATCAAGCCGCTCTGGGGAGATCTCAAATGCGTGGCTCATAGAAGACGACCAAAAGACTTGGCATGACCTGGAGGCATTTTGCCAAGATGAATGGGCAGCACTACCACCGGCAAAAATTCGGGGACAGGAAGGGGGTGAAAGTGTCCGGACTGGAAGGGGTGAAAGTGTCCGGACTGGAAGGGGGTGTGAAAGTGTCCGGACTGGAAGGGGGGGAAAGTGTCCGGACTGGAAGGGGGGAAAGTGTCCGGACTGGAAGGGGGGGAAAGTGTCCGGACTGGAAGGGGGGAAAAGTGTCCGGACTGGAAGGGGGAAAAGTGTCCGGACTGGAAGGGGGGGAAAGTGTCCGGACTGGAAGGGGGGAAAGTGTCCGGACTGGAAGGGGGGAAAGTGTCCAGACTGGAAGGGGGAAAAGTGTCCGGACAGGAAGGGGGGGTGAAAGTGTTCGGACTGGAAGGGGGTGAAAGTGTCCGGACTGGAAGGGGGGAAAGTGTCCAGACTGGAAGGGGGAAAAGTGTCTGGACAGGAAGGGGGGTGAAAGTGTTCGGACTGGAAGGGGGGAAAGTGTCCGTACTGGAAGGGGGTGAAAGTGTCCGGACTGGAAGGGGGAAAAGTGTCCGGACAGGAAGGGGGGTGTGAAAGTGTCCGGACTGGAAGGGGGGAAAAGTGTCCGGACTGGAAGGGGGGAAAAGTGTCCGGACTGGAAAGGGGGGAAAAGTGTCCGGACTGGAAGGGGGGAAAGTGTCCGGACTGGAAGGGGGAAAAGTGTCCGGACTGGAAGGGGGGGAAAGTGTCCGGACTGGAAGCGGGTGAAAGTGTCCGGACTGGAAGGGGGGGAAAGTGTCCGGACTGGAAGGAGGGGAAAGTGTCCGGACTGGAAGGGGGTGAAAGTGTCCGGACTGGAAGTGGGGAAAAGTGTCCGGACTGGAAGGGGGGAAAAGTGTCCGGACTGGAAGGAGGGGAAAGTGTCCGGACTGGAAGGGGGGGAAAGTGTCCGGACTGGAAGGGGGGAAAAGTGTCCGGACTGGAAGGGGGGAAAAGTGTCCGGACTGGAAGGGGGGAAAGTGTCCGGACTGGAAGGGGGTGAAAGTGTCCGGACTGGAAGCGGGTGAAAGTGTCCGGACTGGAAGGGGGTGAAAGTGTCCGGACTGGAAGCGGGTGAAAGTGTCCGGACTGGAAGGGGGGGGAAGTGTCCGGACTGGAAGGGGGGGGAAAGCGTCCGGACTGGAAGGGGTTTAAATATGGTCCATCCTGTATATTACCAATTTTCCAAAAGGGAGGCCGACTTTTGGGCACAACTGTACATGGTTCTATGCAGGGCTGCTGTTAGAAACCACGGGGGCCCCATACAGCCAACCTGACAGGGCCCTCCCCTCCAAAAAAAACAAAGTTTACTGCAGCTATGAATGGACACAGTGAGTGATTGGTATCAATCACTCATTGTGTTCTTTCAGGGAAGGAAGGGGCTGGTAAATGTGATGTATTTACCGAACCCTTCCCCCCACTCTCCATCCTGAAGGATCGTGTTGTGTGTTTGCAGCTGGGAAAGAGAGGAGGGAATCACTGTGGGGGTGGGGGCACATGAAGGGGGGGGGGGGCTGGGCAGCATAGGGAAATGTATGGTTCACAGGGAGGGTGATTGGTGTGTTGGGGGGGGGGGGGGAATGTTACTGGAAATGATCCCCTGCAGCAGCTGAAAGCCAGCAGGAGGAGAGAGAAGAAGCCGGCTTTCAGCTGCTGCAGAGAGAGCCATACAGGGGATTGGTTCCAGTAATTGCCACCCCACAGTGCCGAGCACCCTCCCTGCCCACATCTGATTTACCCATATGCCTGGGGCCCCCTAGTAGCATGGGCCCCATACAGGAGGATTGGCGGTACCCCCTTATCCAAGGCCCGGGTTCTATGGGTCTTTAGTGGCTATTGAGGAGGAAGCATTTCCTCAGTCCCCCCCCCCCTGTCCCATTGTGCCGATCACCCTCCCTGCCCATATCTGATTTACATATATCCCTGGGGCCCCCTGGTAGCCTGGGCCCCATACAGGAGGACTGGTGGTACCCCCTGGTTCTATGGGTCTTTAGTGGCTGTTGAGGAGGAAGCATTTCCTCAGTCCCCCCCCTCCCCACAGTGATCAGACTTCAACATCGTAGCAAGTCACAAGGTGAGAGGCCGGGGCTGATCTGTGTCAAACATTATTTCTATACTAACAATTTTCCTTTCACAAACGGTTATCTGCACCCTGGATGTTTCCTGTTTATACTCCAGGAATGCTCCGGATTAACAAGAGTCAATTAGGGTTCTATTTTTAGAATTCCGAGAAGTTAAAATAAACAATCGCCTGCGCCGTTCTCCGGTAGCATTCAGAACACGGCGTGGTTGTGCGCACCTGTGATGGCGGGGGGGGGGGGGGGGTGGCGTTTGATTACCCGCTGAAGCGTGATAGAGTGAAAGTCGTCCTGGCAGAGCCGGGGAGCAACGCGGAGGTTCCGCCAGCAGGAGTGACGGCTCTGACAAGCGCGGCCCGCACCTTTTCACTTGTCCAAAAAACTTGAAATAACAATCAGCACGCTTTGTGCGCAAACATTGCAGACGGTGATAAGATTCCTGACATTCCACCATCCGGAGGAAACCCGCAGAACCGATCCGTCATTTGTAACAACACACGTCCGCGCCTCTCTTTAGGTTCCTTAATTTGCTCAAATCAGAAAAATCTTTCAGCACCAGAAAGTCCGGCTTGTGTCAATCCGTCCGCAGCAAAGCGGCATAACTGGGAGTCTCCCTAGTCTCATCGTGAGGGGGGGGGTTCACTATATCCGCTCTCCCCGGACCCCACATTCACTATATCCGCTCTCCCCGGACCCCGCATTCACTATATCCGCTCTCCCCGGACCCCGCATTCACTATATCCGCGCTCCCCCGGACCCTGCATTCACTATATCCGCACTCCCCAGACCCTGCATTCACTATATCCGCTCTCCCTGACCCCGCATTCACTATATCCGCTCCCCGGACCCCGCCTTCACTATATCCGCACTCCCCAGACCTGCATTCACTATATCCGCTCTCCCCGGACCCCGCATTCATTATATCCGCTCTCCCGGACCCCGCATTCACTATATCGCTCTCCCCAGACCCCGCATTCACTATATCCGCTCTCCCAGACCCTGCATTCACTATATCCGCTCTCCCCGGACCCTGCATTCGCTATATCCGCTCTCCCCATACCCCGCATTCACTATATCCGCTCTCCCAGGACCCTGCATTCACTATATCCGCTCTCCCCGGACCCTGCATTCACTATATCCGCTCTCCCGGACCCTGCATTCACTATACCGGTCTCCCCGGACCCCGCATTCACTATATCCGCTCTCCCCCGGACCCTGCATTCACTATATCCGCTCCCCAGACCCCGCATTCACTATATCCGCTGTCCCCGGACCCCGTATTCACTATATCCGCTCTCCCCGGACTCTGCATTCACTATATCCACTCTCCCCGGACCCCGCATTCATTATATCCGCTCTCCCCGGACCCCGCATTCACTATATCCGCTGTCCCCGGACCCCGTATTCACTATATCCGCTCTCCCCGGACCCCGCATTCACTATATCCGCTCTCCCCAGACCCTGCATTCACTATATCCGGTCTCCCCGGACCCTGCATTCACTATATCCGCTCTCCCCCGGACCCTGCATTCACTATATCCGCTCTCCCGGACCCCGCATTCACTATATCCGCTCTCCCCAGACCCTGCATTCACTATATCCGCTCTCCCCAGACCCTGCATTCACTATATCCGCTCTCCCCAGACCCTGCATTCACTATATCCGCTCTCCCCGGACCCTGCATTCAAAGTGTGATAGCGCTGAAAGCTGAAAAATTGGCCTGGACAGGAAGGGGGGGAAAGTGTCCGGACTGGAAGGCCCTCCCCTCCAAAAAAAACCAAAGTTTACTGCAGCTATGAATGGGCACAGTAAGTGATTGGTATCAATCACTCATTGTGTTCATTCAGGGAAGGAAGGGGCTGGTAAATGTGATGTATTTACCGGACCCTTCCCCCCACTCTCCATCCTGAAGGATCATATTGTGTGTTTGCAGCTGCCGGTGTGGGAAGGAGAGGAGGAGGGAATCACTGCGGGGGGTGGGGGCACATGACGGGGGGGGGGGGCCTGGGCAGCATAGGGAAATGTATGGTTCACAGGGAGGGTGATTGGTGTGTCGGGGGGGGGGATGTTACTGGAAACGATCCCCTGCAGCAGCTGAAAGCCAGCAGGAGGGAGAGAAGAAGCCGGCTTTCAGCTGCTGCAGAGAGAGCCATACAGGGGATCGGTTCCACTATATCCGCTCTCCCCGGACCCTGCATTCACTATATCCGCTCTCCCCAGACCCCGCATTCACTATATCCGCTCTCCCCGGACCCCGCATTCACTATATCTGGTCTCCCCGGACCCTGCATTCACTATATCCGCTCTCCCCAGACCCCGCATTCACTATATCCGCTCTCCCCGGACCCTGCATTCACTATATCCGCTCTCCCCGGACCCTGCATTCACTATATCCGCTCTCCCCAGACCCCGCATTCACTATATCGCTCTCCCCAGACCCGCATTCACTATATCCGCTCTCCCCGGACCCTGCATTCACTATATCCACTCTCCCCGGACCCTGCATTCACTATATCCACTCTCCCCGGACCCTGCATTCACTATATCCGCTCTCCCCGGACCCCACATTCACTATATCTGGTCTCCCCGGACCCCGCATTCACTATATCCGCTCTCCCCGGACCCCGCATTCACTATGTCCGCTCTCCCCGGACCCGCATTCACTATATCCGCTCTCCCCGGACCCTGCATTCACTATATCTGGTCTCCCCGGACCCCGCATTCACTATATCCGCTCTCCCTGGACCCGCATTCACTATATCTGGTCTCCCCAGACCCGCATTCACTATATCCGCTCTCCCCGGACCCCTGCATTCACTATATCCGCTCTCCCCGGACCCTGCATTCACTATATCCGCTCTCCCCGGACCCCGCATTCACTATATCCGCTCTCCCCGGACCCCGCATTCACTATATCCGCTCTCCCTGGACCCTGCATTCACTATATCCGCTCTCCCCCGGACCCCGCATTCACTATATCCGCTCTCCCCGGACCCCGCATTCACTATATCCGCTCTCCCCGGACCCTGCATTCACTATATCCGCTCTCCCGGACCCCGCATTCACTATATCCGCTCTCCCCGGACCCCGCATTCACTATATCCGGTCTGTATACGCTGGCTTTGGATACACTTTTTTTAATATTAATAATAATTCATATAATATATATAAAAAAATAAATAATAATATAAAATAATAATAATAATAAGAAATATAATATAAAATAATAATAATAATAACAATAAATAATATAACAAAAAATAATAATAATAATAAATATGGTTATTATTATTTTTTAAAATTATTATTATTTAAATGTATTATTATTATTATGCAAGATATATACTGTATATGGCGCCAACAGTTTACTCAGCGCTTTACAATATAAAGAGAACGGTACAATTACAATACAGTTTGATACAGAAGGAATTTAACTGAAATCAGCACATCACAAGTCACTGAAATTCCCCAGCTGGGAGGAATATTTTCTTTCATATTTTTTTTTTCTTTAGCGGTGGAACCCGCCGCCATTACCATTTTGTTTTGACTGCAGAGGTAACGCATTACGCGTGTATAACAATGCAGAGAAAATGACGGCACAAGAATACCTGAAATAGCTCGGCTAAACCTGTCCATCATGATTAGTGTCAGCCGCAGTGGGCGGCAGCCTAGGGGCCCCAGACGTCGGCGGGTCTTTACACGAACAAATCCCACAACAAGGGAAGTCGTTTCCTTTACAGAAATGTCATTATTGATGTCGCTGCTTTAGTTTATAAAATGTGCTGCTGTGTGAATAGGAAGACTCTGATTCTGGGGTCAGAGCAGTTCTATGGCACCACTATGAAGGACTGCTGAGACCACAAACAGCAGGGACCTCCGAACTGTTCAATATGAAGGCCACATCCAATGATTGAAACATTTTGGCGGGACGGAAAAAAAGAAAAAAAAATCCATTTTATCATTGAACAAATCAAAGTTAAATAAATTATGTTTTTCTTGAAGCTTTTTGCTTTCAGCAATTATATGATTTGGAACAACAGAGAAAAAAATGTGAGCCCATCAGAGTCCTTCTTACATTAGAGTTTCATCAGAGCCCCATTCTGGGACCTGTAGTCCTACATGAACCCCATACCCTCATGAACCGGATTTACCAGCTATGTCCCCATCAATCAGACTGAACTCGGCTATGGTGACCTCTGCTCCAGACGGCGGCCCAGTCCTTATTTCAGGCACTTGTAAACATTATCCCAGCCCTCTAAATATCACCAGCGAGAGGCGACATTCATAGCTGTCACCAGTCCCAAGGAGTCAACTGATCCCTTGTCTCTGTGTACTGAGCGCTGTGTGTACAATACAAAACACACGTCTGTCATTCTCTCACCAAAAAAAAAATGTTTTAAAAACTAATCGGTTCTTCACACTTCTATACTTATACAATGGATATTATTATTATTATTATCATTATTATTATTGATATCTTTATTACTGTTATCATCATTATTATTACTCCTAATATTATCATCATCTGCATCATTATTATTATTGATATTATTATTACTGTTAACATCATTATTATTATTGTTATCCGTATTATCATCATTATTATTATTATTTGTTATTATTACTGGTAATGTCATTATTATTATTGTTATCTATCAATTATTATTGTTTATGTTATTATCATCATCATTATTATTGTTATCCGTATTATCATTATTATTATTTTTTATCCGTATTATCATCATTATTATTATTGATATTATTATTACTGGTAATGTCATTATTATTGTTATCCATATTTCATCATTATTATTATTATCCATATTATCATCATTATTATTATTTATATTATTACTGGTAATGTCATTATTATTATTGTTATCCGTATTATCATCATTATTATTGTTATCCATATTATCATCATATTATTATTATTATCCGTATTATCATCATTATTTTTATTTTATTATTACTGGTAATGTCATTATTATTATTGTTATTATTATCATCATCATTATTATTGTTATATTTTATATTATTATTACTTTTTTATCCGTATTATCATCATTATTATTATTGATATTATTATTACTGGTAATGTCATTATTATTATTTTTTATCCGTATTATTTTTTTATTATTATTTTTATCCATATTATCATCATTATTATTAATTGATATTATTATTACTGGTAATGTCATTAAAAATTATTATTGTTATCCATATTATTCATCATTATTATTGTTATCCGTATTATATCATTATTATTATTGATATTATTATGGTAATGTCATTATTTTTTATTGTTATCCGTATTATCATCATTATATTTTTTGTTATCCGTATTATTTATTTCATTTTATTTTTTTATCCGTATTATCATCATTATTATTATTGATATTATTATTACTGGTAATTTCATTATTATTATTGTTATTTATATATCATCATTATTATTATTTTTATCCATATTATCATCATTATTATTGTTATCCGTATTATCATCATTATTATTATTGATATTATTATTTTAATTCATTATTATTAATTGTTATCCGTATTTTCATATTATTATTATTGTTATTTTATTATCATCATCATTATTATTGTTATCCGTATTATCATCATTTATTATTATTATTGATATTATTTTATTACTGGTAATGTCTTTTATTATTATTATTTTTATCCGTATTATCATCATTATTATTATTGATATTATTATTATGGTAATGTCATTATTATTATTTTTATCCGTATTATCATCATTTTATTATTGATATTTTATTACTGTAAATTTTTTTATTATTATTGTTATCCATATTATCATCATTTATTATTTTTTATATTATCATCATTATTTATTATTGATATTATTACTGGTAATGTCATTATTATTATTGTTATCCGTATTAATTTTTCATCATTATTATTATTGTTATCCATATTATCATCAATTTATTATTATTGATATATATTATTACTGGTAACATCATTATTCATCATCACCATCTTCATTATTTTTACTGTTATTATTGTTATTATTATTAATATTGATATTATTATTACTGTTAACCAGGGGCGGACTGACCATTTGGAAACTATATACTGTGTTTTTTTTTCAGTAGGGGGCCCATGAGATATTGGTACCTTATTCATAGGTTTT